AGTATATTGAATCAAAAGAGGCCAATGGCCGAATAATGCTAAACGCTTACCCCTTATGCAATAGTTGACAGTCCACCTGATCAGGGGCTATCTGCATAGTGGGGCAAAGAATCGGCATCTGTCTAGTTCGGCGGCAATCATTATTATGATTGATTAACTTTGAAAATGTCATACCGCCCAAGGTATCAAAATTTTCTAAGTTAATCAAGTCCATCTCCCATTAGAACTAGACAGGATGCCGACCTAGCAAAGCTTCGAGGGTCTAACTTTCGAAAAGAGCAATCCCTCCTGGAAAGAGAAATTACTCCTTCCGAGGGGCAAATGTTTAGGGTAAAAATTACCCATGACAAATGGACCAATCCGGACCTGCCACGTGTCCACCACGTGGGCCAATCAGCGTCCGCCATTTGTCACCCTAAGAGGTCCAACATGGACTAATCAGGCCACGCCACGTGGCCTCCCATATGCCAAATAGGCAAAATGGCCACCAAGGCCCAAAGTCCGAGAGAAGCCCAATTTGCCCTGGTTAACCTAAACCTAAAATTGGCACGCTTCTCAAGACTATAAATACTTAATTAATCCTCATTAAAGGGGATTCAGCAATTGATGACTCTCACCTAGAGAAGTCTAGACACATTGATCACTCCTCCCCTAGAGGAACCAGATCTCCCACCTTTACATTCCGCATTTATTACTCCTCAAACAAGTACTAACTTGACCGTTGGAGGCGGAGCTCCCACCACAAGGAGTCTCCGTTGTTTTGCAGGTACAGGCGCAAGGATACCAGTCCCGGAATTGTAACTCTCCCGCAGGACATCAGAAAACCCCGAAACACTAATGATTTCAATTATAATTCTTGTGGTTTTATTTATTTATTTATTTATTTTTATCACCTCCCTAATTTTTATCATATCGATCATTTTTAACAAAGATGTACGTTGTTAAAATCCCGGGCATCGTACGGGTACTACCTAGTAAGGTTATAACTTAATAATTATTCTAATTTAAAAATGACATTATTTGAATATTGAATTTGGTCAATTCAACCCAAATTCAGCGAAAACCGAAAAGGAATTGGAATTAATCCCTATACTAAATCAAGCTTGTTTTGTACGAGATTTGAATTTAAGGGTATCCTACGCGCGCGATGCGCGCGAAAGAGTTAGTTGTTGCATAGAAGTTGTATAAGCGCGTAGTTACACCTTTGGTTTGGGTGGTAGATCTGGTAGTTTTAATACGTACTATTTGGTTTATGGGCCTATATAGTGGTTTTGTAGAAATATAAAAAATCCATCAAAATCTTTAATGATAATTATTTTTTAAAACCCTCAAAAGTTTAACAATGTTATTTCAAAATTATTATTAAATAATATTTAATTGATTTGTATTCCTTCATATTTTAAGCTAGTTTAGAACTCTTAATTGATTTGCATGATTCAATAATACTTAACATATTTTTCTTCAAACGAATTTTTTGTGAGCTTGGTCATACGGAGTAATAATATGTGAAATGTTCGTTGTAGCTAAAAACTTAATAATGTAAGTTCAATGTTCTACGACCATCTAATATCTATATATGTATCTAATACTAAAGCAATAACCACTTAGTTATATTTTTCTTCTTAAATTCTCTCCATATTTAAATACATTTTTTTTCTATCATCGATTTCCTTCGATTTTAGGATTTTAAAGTTATTTATACCTCTTGATAACATCTGCTCAAATATCATTATTTAATATGAATGTCATTTAAATTCCACGTTGTTTATGTGCGTGCCATCAAATAATGTACAATTAAAAAGCTAACAAACCTGAACAATATTTGTAATAATTAAAGGACAACAAAATTGTAAATAAGAAGAGCAACCGCAAAGGAGTAAAAATAAATCATCTCGTGGTAATAAACAAAGTCTTCGTACATACAATTTTTTTTCCTTTTTAAATAACTATAATAACATATGAAGTACAAACCATTATAATTTTTTTTATTTTTAAAAAAGGCATTACAAGTTTTTGTTAAAAAAATTGTATTAATTGATGGTATGTTTAATGAAAAAAAAACCCAATTAAATATATTAATGAGAGTAAACATATTAATGAGGGTAAAAAAGTAAATATACATTTTTGAAAAATTGTATTAATTGATGGTATGTTTAATGAAAAAAAACCCAATTAAATATATTAATGAGAGTAAACATATTATTGAGGGTAAAAAAGTAAATATATATTTTTGTACACAGTTTTGTATATATTTTTGAGGGTATAGTTGGTAGCACACTATTCCTAAGAGTTATTTTCTACTTTTTATAAGGTAGGGATATGAACTAAATATGAAATGATCTAAAGTTAATCCGACCGAAATACGATCCTAACTCAATCTGACATGTTAAAAACTACCTCTGTTTAACATTTTTTGCAACTGTGAAGGATGCATGAACTCCTTGGCAAAATTTGTTTGTGAGTGGAAAGGCCTGTTCTGATTGACTGAATTGAGTTGAACTTAACTTAACTAAACTTATTAGAGCTGAGTTGAACTGAACTGAATATTTTATGAGAAAAAGAAATTAAGAATTGAACTTAACCGAACTTATTGGAGCTGAACTGAACTGAAAATAATCTAAAGAGAACATGCCTTAAGATAAAGAGAGAAAAATGGAATGAATGTGATGAAAAGAGAGATAGAAACATATGACAACCTCTAATGGAAAGAAAATATTAGTTGCAAATAATGTGTAGCATCATTTTTAACAAATATTGTAAAAAATATGAAATGGAGGTAGTAAGTAATTTTGACCCAAATAGACCCGACCCATCATGGGTCAACCTAGACTCCATTCAGTACAAATTCTTGGCTGCATTCTAATGCATCCAAGATAGCTGCATCAAGGCAAAACGCAGCCTCCACTGAATGAAACACAAACTTAATTCATCTTCTTCTTCAAGTTTTATTTTTTATGATTCTCTTTCTTCACTTTCATAATAGTAATTTTGATCTCAATTTTCTCTCTCCTCTCTCCCATCTTCCATTCGAAATTCTCTCTCTCCTCTTTCTTCTCTTTCATTTGACATTTTCTCGCTCCTCTATTATATGCAACACTATGGATTTGGTTGTTAATCTTAATGAGATCATCAATGAAGGTTAGTTTTTGTGTTGTTTACAATTAGTTTAATTAAGTTAGACTTTGGATGAGTTTGTAATTGTTTTTGAATTTATAATTTGATGAGTTTCAATATACTCTTGATAAATTGGTTTTTGATTTTATGATTTAATTTTAATTCTTGGTATTCTGATTTTGATGTGAATAGTAATGGAATTGCTTTTTTTTTTTTTTTGAAAATAATTAAATTCTTGGTATTCTTTTTCTCTCTTTTGTTGGTGGTTTTTAGATTCTCAATCATGTTACAAATCAATAACTATTTTTTCTATGGAAAATAAATAATTATTATTGTTTTTGAAGAAAAAATCAATAATTATTTTCTCTATGATGAATCAGGATTAATTTGATTATATTCAACTTTTTTGGAGTTAAAATAATTACGATCGAACTTGAGTATAATTTCTGTAAAAAAAATGAACACGTAGTAATTTAAAAATGAACATCTAGTAGAAAATGAACTTTTAGTACATAGAAAATGAACATTTAGTACATAAAAATTGAACATATTTCAACAATTTATTATATCTTTATTTTTTTCGTTAATAATTATATACAATGAATTTGAACCTATATGAAAATCATGTTCATTTTGAATATCCTAAATGTTCATAAATTTTTTTTACATGTTCATTTTTATACATTTTTTATTTTTTAATACTAATTGTTCATTTTTTAAAGTGTATATATTTTATGAAATGTTCATTTCATTAGGTTGAAAGTTGAATTATTTGAACATTTAGTGTTGAAACTATGAACAATTTCCATATTTATTATGAACATATATGTTTCGTTATTATTTATTACGAACATATCTGTTATTGATTATGAACGCAAATGACATATAGAGTGATAATTTATATTTTTAACTATTATATTAATGATTATACATTATGAACATTCTAAATAATCATTTTGAACATATAATGTGATGATTATGAACATAAGTTTTAATGATTATGATTGAAAATTCTGATTATTTGTTGTTATTTGTTATATTTTAGTGAGTACAGTCAATTGTATTCGTGGAAGGCAAAGAATCTGAATTAGTGAAGAAACAAGTAAGAAGTGATGAAGAAGCATATGAATTATTATGAACACATGTTGTGATGATTATGAAAATTTTGATTATTTGGTATATTTTAGTGAGTACAGATTAATTATATTTGTAGAAGACAAAAACTCTGAATTAGTGAAGAAACAAGTAAGAAGTGATGAAGAATTATATGATATGTACAATGAATTTGCCCTTAAGTTGGAGAATTTCCGATGTATATGATCCCAATTTTATGGTTGTATGATAAAGGTTCATTTCTAATATACTAAATGTTCATTTTTTTTTTGAGATGTTCACTTTTTATTACTGAATGTTCATTTTTTTACGTGTCCATTTTTATTACTGAATATTCTTTTTTTTTTTTTTTTTTATATGTGTTCATTTTTCTAACTAAATGTTCACTTTTAAGGTCGTGGTCTAGCAAATTTATGATTATATGATAATCAGATTCATTTTTAATAAATGCTCATTTCCTTATAACATGTTCACTTTTTAGTATTAAATGTTCATTTTTTAACATGTTTATTTTTTGTTATTAAATGTTCTTTTTATTTTCATGTTCATATTTTTTAACTAAATGTTTATTTTTTATTTGGACCGCGCGTTTTGGATCTCACTTATTGTAGCTATCTTGGCTGCACTAGAGTGCAGCCAAGACCAATTGCTCCATTCAGATACTCATATACGGACAGATCAAAACCAAACATAAAAGCAACAACGAAGAGCAAGTCCATATGGAAGTTAGTTGGGCTAAAATATAGAATTATATTTCAATTATAAAACGGCCCAACTACAGAAACCCTAGCAAAGCTTTTAATAACAGACAGAAATTAGGGTTTTGGCTGATCTCCCCTCTTTTTCTCACTATCTTTGTTGAAGAAGCGCAGCTTAAGAGAGACACACTCATCTCTCTCCTCCTTCCAAATCTTCAACCATGGTCAGTCCTCTCTTTCTCTCTCTATTCTATACAATTCATTTTATGCTTATCGAACATGGTAATATGATTGTTGTTCATTGTATAATCTGATGTTTTTCCAATGTTTTATTTTGTTGATTGTTGTTATTGGATATGCTACATTTCATCTGGGCTCTTAATTTGTTTGGATTATTTGTAATTCCTGTTAATTTCCATGGTTCTCTAATGGAAAAATGTGAACTGGGTATGTTTTATATGGTAGTTTTAGTGGGTGATTGGGTGGTGAAATTGATGAACTGTGAATTGATTAGAATGCTAATGAGTTTCTTTAGATAAAGGAGGTCGCTTGCATAATCAATTTGATCTATTGATTTTGATTTTTGATTTTCTGGATAAATTGTTGTTGGAAATGGCCTAAAGTCTGTATTTTTGGATACATTTTGTGTTGCTTCTGAGTCGAGGATATTCCCCAAAATAATATGTAATGGAGGTAGTATGTATTCAGTATGTGGTGCATACGACCTCTCGGGTGGGGAGGTAGATGAAGATTGTTTTGTCAGCGCTTGTTTTAATATATTCGACGAACAATGATGATGTTTCAATGACTTTGCTGAGGGGCATGTTTCAATTTTTTCGCCGAATGATTTAAGTTACATTTTGTGCCAAAGTAGGCCTTTTAAATCTATGTTTTCGATGAAATTGCATATGTAACTGATTGCAACGCTGACATGAAAATTCCAATACATGTTGCTGGTATTAGTGTCGGTGTGTTACAATTGTATCTTCTTTTGTAAGGGGGAGTGTATTATTGTAGAGATTAGATTCAGGTGGGGAATGTGTAAAAACTGTGTCCGTTGGTCATTTTCATTTTCTGCCACACAGTGTAGGATGATGTTACTGCAAGGCAAAATGAATTTTCAATAAATGATCCATAGCTATCCTCTTTTTTAAAATGGTTACGTTGTGTCTTAATTACAGAGAATGGATTATGGTTTTTATAATTTGATCGTTTGTTATTGTACCTGCCGTCGTATCATTTATGTAATCAATTTCTATGCCCAATTTATGAGTGTTTCATCTAATGCTAGTTGTTTTGAATTGCAGGCGAGAGGATTGAAGAAGCATTTGAAGAGGCTCAATGCCCCCAAGCATTGGATGCTTGACAAACTTGGTGGTGCATTTGTAAGTGATATGACTTTTTGCCGTGCTTAACTAGCTGCTACATCACTGTAATTTGTTCTTATGTTTGCTCCAATGTGATATGCAGGCTCCTAAACCATCATCTGGTCCCCACAAAGCAAGGGAATGCTTGCCCTTGATCCTTATTTTGCGTAATAGGTTAAAGTACGCTCTTACATACCAAGAGGTCCAAGCTATTTTGATGCAACGACATGTCCTTGTTGATAACAAGGTCAGGACCGATAAGACCTACCCTGCTGGTTTCATGGGTATGTTCTCTTTTGATATCTGTGTATCCGCTTATGTTTATTAGCAGTTGATGTAAAATTCATTAGACATTACATGATCTGTACATCAATCTGCTAAAGCGGATGCCATAATAAGTGTTTTGTCACATACTCCTGCTGTCTTCTGTCCCCAATTGTTTGCCCTAATTTTTTTTTTTTTTTTTGAACTTTGTTAAGTTTTGGTTGGGTGGAATTCATGAGAGAAATTGTTGGGACTAAATGTTATGTATGTGGACATTTATAGAATGGCCAATTTTTTTAGGGGTGGCCTAAGATTAAAATAAGGCAAATTATGAGGGATAGAGAGAGTTATATGTTTTGTAAGTGTCCAATTGGTGTGAGAATGATCTTTTTTGGTATAACGTATACCTGAGTTCCTATGTTTAAACTCATTTTGCACCTGTTAACTGTGAAATGTATTTATTTTCAGATGTTGTCTCCATTCCCAAGACAAATGAAAATTTCCGTCTGCTTTATGATACAAAGGGAAGTTTTCGCCTGCACTCTATCAGAGATGAAGAGGCAAAGGTATACTGTGTTTCTTTCATAGTTTAACCCATTAAGTTCTTATCCGTTTGTTTTTTATTAATATCTCTAATTGCTATATTTCAAGCATTAATGTGTGTGTGGGATATTATTGTTGGAAGAGACTGCCTGATGTTTTTTGCCTTGTTGTTCTGCTATGTTGCCACCGTTTATTCTTCCTCCTCCCTACTAATTTTCCAGAGAGAATAGTTTGGTTGGCTTAAGCCTCTTATGTTGTTTTGTTTAGTACATCCATACTAAGACCTTTTTGCTTTGCAGTACAAGCTCTGCAAGGTTCGATCTATTCAGTTTGGCCAGAAAGGCATTCCCTATCTGAACACCTATGATGGTCGTACCATCCGTTATCCCGACCCACTTATCAAGGCCAATGACACAATCAAGCTTGACCTGGAAGCAAACAAGATTGTTGACTTCATCAAGTTTGATGTCGGAAATGTTGTTATGGTGACTGGTGGTAGAAACAGAGGGCGTGTTGGAATCCTCAAGAACAGAGAGAAGCATAAGGGAAGTTTTGAGACCATCCATGTCGAAGATGCTGCTGGCCATGAGTTTGCAACCCGACAAGGTAACGTTTTCATCATTGGTAAGGGCACCAAGCCATGGGTATCTGTTCCTAAGGGTAAGGGTATCAAGTTGTCAATTATCGAGGAGGCTAGGAAGAGGCTACAAAAGGAAGCTGCTACTGCATAATTTATGTAATGCTACTGAGGATAGTTTCTCTTAGAAGTTAGACAGCTTCACATAGTTTCCCTAAGGTGAATGCCCCCTATTTTACTCCTCTGTCAGTACAATTTTGGCTTTAAAACTTGCTGTGATAGATGCTCTTTGTTCTTATTGGAGATGAACGTAACTGTAGCTTGAATCTTCTTGTTTATTGCAAGGTTTTGATTCCTTTGCAGAAGGATTTTGATGTTTAGAAGTGTTTGTTATTTGAGTTTGCTGCATTGCAAAGATCAAGGATTTTTAACTGTCATTTTCTGATTTCATTTCATGTAAAACTGTCAATGCCCCAAACTTCTGTAGTTTTATTTGACAGCCTATGACAGTTGAGTTCCATTTGTGTTTTAGCCATATTACACAACACTTTGGAGTTAACCAACTTTGTTTACGAATTCAAAAGCCTGCAACCCAATCTTGTTTAATAGAAATCAAAAGCCTGACACTTTGTTGTGTTGCTACTGTTGGTCACAAGTATACATGCTATCAAAATCTCTGCAATATCTTACAATTGTTACAAATCTACTCATTTTTTTCCTGATACTATGGGAAATTGGTATTGGTAATGGCAATGGGCGATTTTAGTGAAAATGTTTGTTAGCTAAGCCAACGCCCGGTTTTGGTAATGGCAGTGGGGGATTTTAGTGAAAATGTTTGTTAGGTAAGCCAACGCCTGAATGCCTGATGTTCGTCTCTGGGGAATATCTGGTGGTACTTTTGAGCAGTTGATGGTTGAGATTAGCACATTTGTGTAGTGCTGGTATGAATGAATGGTTTAATTTAGATGGTGGACAAGGCCACAAGGGTGGCGGCGTTGCTTAATGTTGTTTGATGTATGGATTTTGCCCTCCATGCCCAAAGATTAACTCTATAGGCTTTAAATGTTTTGATTAAGGTGTATGCCTTGAGTTATGTAATAGTGTTTTGAGTTGTGAGGTGGAAGTTTGAATAGGTGTATTAACTCAATCGAGTATCGGTTTGTACTTTACCTTTGACATTTGCTTATATTGAGATTCATACATGAAGTACTTTGACCATTACGCGAGTATGTGTTTTTAGTGAAACCAACCTATAACGCTATTCACCTGATTTGAATTGACTTGACTCTAACAAATTATCGTGTTTATTTGATTATTTTATCTTAACAAGCAAATTGAGAATAAATTGAAAATTACTTGAATTGAATAGATCTAAACTAGTTTGAATTCGAAGAACTCGTCTAAAATGACTCAATTTTGCAATTATGTAAATGACCTGATTGCCACCGATTATCATTGCATGAGAAGAATATCTAAAATGAGTCATAAACCATAACTTTGCTTCTCAATATATTTAATTCACAAAATTGGTGATTAAAATAATTTAAAGGGAGAAGTTAGAGAAGTGCAACAAACTTCCGTGGCTTTAGTGGAAATGAAGTGACTAGGAAACATTATCCTCTTCACTTGCTACTACCTGGTTTATGAGCACTAAATAGTGGGTAAATATCACATGGAACCAGCATTGAGGTTGTTGATGCTACCCAAAATGTCTCTTATGATTTAATTACATGCTCCAATATAATCTCCACCCATGAAATTCAATTCAACACCATTAAGTGAATAGCGTATTTTCTCCGTTTCTTAATACTTAAAAGTTCGAATGGAAAAGTACAACACTTATATTTTAAAACCTGTCAATGTATTGTAATACCTGTAACTCTCAATAATATAATAATTACGGAGTATAAAATTTTGATGATATAATTTGCGATAAATAACCAAGCTAAGTTTGGTCTAGTGGTAAGGAATGTAAGTATAGGTTGGAAATTCAATCCCCACTAGAGACACTTTAAGGGTGGGTATCCGATCCCTTACCCTCTTTTCCTCACTCTTAAAGTGTTTGACCCGCAAATACCAAGTAAAAAAAAATCGTTTAGGTTGAGGATACATTTGTGAAGTATATATAAACAGAGAATATTATTTTAGTGGAATCTAATTAGCTTGATTTATAAACATTAGAGTGTGAGATGTTTATTTAAGGATGATATTAAGGCACCAAAATACAATATTAAGTTGGACCTACCCTTACCTGAAAACATTGCAACTGGGAATCTTTGGTAAAAGAAAGATAAGATGGCAAAAGCAAATTCCAAAGGTAATTCCACCTTAGACCTTACCAAATGTTCTTATCATATCATATGTTTTTTTTTTTTTTTTTTTTTTTTTGGCTTTGAGAAATTCGGTCTTACCTGCATGGCTTGTCATATACGAAGTTCTACGTAGGTAGCTTACAAGGAATATAATGGAGTGATAGAACTTATTGGACTGTTGGGGGTATTTTGGTCACTTTAAGGTATTTTGAAGGGCATATGTAAACAACTACCAGTACTAAGAGGCATTTTTGAGAAATTTTATTACCATGAAAAAAAAAATCTCATACAAAACTGTTGGGAACTTTTTAAATATTAGTACTCAATCTTAATGAATTAACATGTTTGTGATAATATTACATACTCCGTTTCATATTCCTATGTACTACATATTTTATTATTATGTTGTTGTTATGTTCCTAAAATAGCCATGACTAAGGGCCTGTTCTCATTGACTGAATTCAACTGAACTGAACTGAATTGAATATTTTATAAGAGAAGGAAATTAGGAGCTGAGCTAAACTGAACTGAGCTGAACTGAACTGAGCTGAAATGAGCTGAACTGAACTGAACTGAATTTCAACGTACGAGAACAGGCCTTAAGGCTCACAACTTAGCAATCGAGGCTAGGAAAAGGAGTTGAGGCTAATCTTCTTTGTCTTGTACCATAGTGAGATTTAGCAATACCAATGTAATAAATCTTTAAAATTCCTAATTAAAAATGATAAACTATTTCTAAAAGATTAGAAATAAAATTGTTCCAATTTTGTAAAGCACACCAGGAGTACAATAAATCACTTTTGTTCACTATTCTTATATCTTGTAGCCACAATATATATGAGAAATTGTATAGGATTACTATATACTCAATTTTGATGGTACCCTTAATCATCATTACATAATCCAATTTATATGAGAAATTCAAACTCTAAAATGACAAAACAGTCCTCTAACCACATTTCTAGTGAACTCAAAAGTTCATGGTGTGCTTTATACTTTGTCATCATTTCACAATCTTAGTACAATGCTTTATGTATTTACTAACATCACAAAACCCCACTAATAACTTTACTTCTTACAAAAATACTATTCTAATATGTAATCTTGGTCAGTAGTTGAATTTTCAACCAACTGTATCCACTAATGAAGGTGATTAAAAACCCCACTTTAATCATAATTATTATGGGTACATATCATAATTTGTTGGTTGAAATAGGTTTAACCCTAGAACCTTCAGCTTATTCCCTTAATATTCTTTTATGTAAGACTATATATTAAGAAATCTTATATTAAAAGTAAAGGGCAAAGTTAGTAAAGAAAAAGCCTTGATTTAATATGAAAAAACCTATCTTTCTTACAACTTTTGTATTTTTCTAGGTAATTTGGATTTTATTTAATTTTTGTGGAATGATTTTACAAATAGAAAGAACAACATTTGACTTTGAGAGAATATATAAAAGGAGTGTAAGAAAACATAGTTATTTGTAGCTAAGTAAAATATGGATAGTCTAAGGAGTTTCCTCTGCTTCAAGACCTCTCCACCATCAATAGTCTTTCCAATTACAACCACCTTCTTCACTAAGCTTCCTTCGCGATTTTGGCATAAGGCGAAAGGTAAGCTTCCTCCTTCCCCTTCTTTGCATAATGACACGTTTATTCGTTAGGAACAGTCTGAAAACATTGCGATATAGAATATGTTCTTGTTCACGAAACTACGTTAGATTCATTTCAAAAGTAAAATCATATTCATATATCTTGTTCAATCATCAAGATACCATATTCTAATGTTTTTTCTGCTTAAATCAGCAGGATATGCTGTTTTTGGAGCAAAACAAGGTAAATATAAAAAACTGTATAACTTTTTTTCTGAGTGATGCTAGTTATGTTATTATTGTCACAGTGGTTTAATGCAGGCTTATAAATTTGTTCAGTTTTTGATAATTTACTTTGGTATAATTGATTTGGCAGCTGCTAAAAGAAAAGGGCTTGTGAGCCTTTCTAAAGACAAGGAGCTATGTGAAGGATATGCTGATATCGAAATGATGTGGAAGATGATTCATTCTACCTGTTCTAAGGATATACACAGCAACAGAAACTGCAAAAGACCGAGATATTTAGTAGTCTGTTTTAAGCCAAGTTAAGTGACTTTTGAAAGAGATAATTTGGCTTACTTCAGTTTTATTGTTTTGTACAACAATTAGGTTTAATTTACTGTCTTTAGTTCGTTCTCTCGATGTTGTGTTTTGTTATGCCCATCAGGTTCTTCTCAAGATAGATTGAAGAACATTTCTGCAAAGCTGATGAATGGGAAAATTAAACACAATTATATGTAGAGAATTCAATTAGTTTTTAACTTTTAACTGTCAAAAACTACATATAGCCCAAGAATGTGCAATCAATTTGCATTAGCATAATAAGTTTCAAGTACATATTTGTATGCAAACACCTGTATTCTAGCCATTTAAATACTAAGAACCGGCTTACTTAGATGACAGAATCCTAAAATCCAGAACTAGGGAAAACTAGATAAATTGTACTGTTGTAGTATTAGTACATACAATACTTTCAGATGACCATATCACTAAAAAAAAAACTTAGCAGGAAAGGGAAAAAAATAACAGTCAAATACGTGCTCTTTCGCAGACTAAAAGCAGGGCATACAGCAAGAAAAGATTTTAAGGACACCAATTTAATACACGTCCTTACTGAGACATTTTGATCTAGTAACATCATCTAAAGTCTTCTGTAATGCTTCAACCTACGTAGCAAGGTAAAAAACTGAACAAGGATTGATTAGCCAGAAAGAAAACACTGAAAAGCAGAAACTGTGAGGCTGCTTAATTCCAAAGAGAGTTTTGCCCTCCTTGCTCACAGGAGAAACAAAGCCAAAAAGTACATCTAGTAGTTCTCTTAGTAAGATAAGAGTGCTTCGATTGCTAAAACTTTCCCTGCAGTTTGAGATCAAGTACAAATTATTTAAAACCGACATAGATTAGCAATCGAAATCAGCTTTCTGTACATTTTTGTACATGGCATATGTGTCCAAGTTGTAGGCTTGATTATATTGTGAAAATTTCCTTTACTCCTTGTACTTGTATGAGCAGTCATATGTCCTTAAACATGTTGGAATGTCGAGGAGTTGACATGGATACTTGAGGTAAAATGAAGAGTCCGAGTGACACAAAATATCACTTTACCTACCTGGTTT